CTATTTTATACATAGTAGTTAGTATCCTGCCAAATCCCCAAACTCCCACTTTATCCCTCCCTACCCTCTTTCCCTTCTGGTAACCATAAGTTTTTTCCCTAGGTCTGTGAGTCTGTTTCTATTTTTTAAATAACTTCATTTGTGTCCGTTTTTAAGATTGGACATATAAGTGATATCATGTGGTATTTTTCTTTCTTTTTCTGGCTTACTTCACTTAGAATGACAATCTCCAGGTCCATTCATGTTGCTGCAAATGGCATTTTTAAATTCTTGTTTATGGCTGAGTAGTATTCCATTGTATAAATATACCACAACTTCTTTACCCGGTCATCTGTCGATGGACATTTAGGTTGTTTCCATGTCTTGGCTATTGTAAATAGTGCTTCTATGTAATAAGTCTATTTTTTCACATTTTACCATTTCTGAAATTGAGATGGTCTTACTTGTAGGCATGTTCTAGTTTAATTGGCAGTTTTTTTTCTAAGTGCTACGTAACGAATGGTCTCTTACAAAGGATGATGCCTTGGTCACTCACCCAGAGCTGTGGGTGGAGTAAAGGTGCACCTGCAGCCTTACAGTCTGTCTTACCTGTCCCGATACCTCGGCAGAAGTGAGTTTCCACCCTGTCTATTGGGTAGGGTCTCAGAGTTCTGGGCACCTGAAATGTTAGGGGTAGGGGGCTCTGTACATAGAAAAGTGCCCATGGATGTTGAATTAGTTCCTCAGTTCTGTCCAAAACAGACCCCACATGAATTGGTCCTTGGGCTCTGAGCACTGTTCTTTGGTTTTGCTTGTAGGCTGTTGTGTTCTCTTCTGGAGCCAAAGTTGGTTTCTTCCAAGGAGATATTCGGTTGCTGCCTGATGACATGAAGACTCTGAGGCCCACGTTGTTTCCCGCAGTGCCGCGACTCCTTAACAGGGTCTACGACAAGGTACTAGCCTTGCTTCTGCTGGGCTGGCCCCGAGATGAAGGAATTACCTGTGGCTTAGGCCTGACTGAGGCTCTCAGGGACTCTGTTGCTAAAAAACGTGCTCTGTTTCCACCCCCAGCCCGCTACGAGCATCTGGTTACAGCCATATACACAATTGCAGCCTTGAAAACCACAACCAATGAACCCCTCTTTCCCCTGGATGAGATTACTTAGAACTGATCTGGAGAAAGGGCTCAGTTCAGAGACCCGGGGACCCCCTCAGAATTCAGCTGACTTGCTGGGAAGTTGTTACTCTGATCTCATTACACCTACTGGTTAGTGTGCCTCTTGCTGAGGGGCCAGGCCCAGCGGTAAACACGTCATGTGCATTCCGTCATTTAGTCCCTGTAAAAGCACAGGAAGTCATGCCTACGCTGATTATCTGTAACTGGCAGATGAGGAGACTGAACCTTGGAGGTTAAATAACTTGGCCAGAGTCACATCTATTAAGGGGTCAGGCCAGAATCCCACTGCCATGGAACGGTTATAGCTGTTACTAAAGAGATCACTCCTTTCCTTAGGGTTGGTGGTTTTTCTAATTCAGTCATTTTTCTTGCCTGCATTAGCTGAGATTCTTCCATAAAGGCATGACAGATATTTGATTTTTTCCCCTTTATTTATCAATCTTCAAAACAATAAACGGGCACCCTAGCAATCTTCAAAAATAGTCAAGGAGATGTTTTTCTTTGTAATATTAGATACGACGTGCACACATGCACATGATACATGGTATTCAATGAGCCATTCAGTCAGTACCCCTAGGTGACTCTGTAGATAGATGCTACCTTTTTTTTTTTAACGGAGGTCCTGGAGACTGAACCCAGGACCTCGTGCATGCTAGGCCTGCGCTCTACCACTGAGCTATTTCCCTTCCCTCTCCCAATGCTGACTATTTTTTGAGGACATGCTTCTCTCAGTTGTCAAAGATGTTTGCTAAGGATAAGGAATCTGGAGGAGCTGGAACTCTGCATGTATGTATTAAGTTGACTGCTTTCTTCTAAGTGTGGGCTCGCGATTATTCAGCAAATCAGTTCATGAATGAGAGCCACCTCCTTACGAAGCTAGGAGGCACCATCCCATCTACAATAGGTTTCCAACTAAGAGGAACTATCACCCTGCAGGTGCAAAATGAAGCCAGGACACCCTTGAAGAAGTTCTTGTTGAACTTGGCCATTTCCTGTAAACTCAGTGAAGTGAAAAGGGGTATCATCAGACGCGACAGCTTCTGGGACAAGCTCATCTTTTCAAAGATCCAGGTACGTTGGGTGGATCCTGGACAGAGCCGGGTGAGTGTCTGCACTGCCCACTGACTCAGCCTACTTTGCTTTTCCTTTGATGGTCAAGCTTCTCTTTAACTGAGAGCCTTTCACATTTTCTGTGTTCATTCACCTTTTGAGATCTCCCTTGGACAACTTTGTCACTGAAGGGAATTGGTCAAAAAGCGGAAAATGGATTTTACTTAGGTTCTAGCACTCTCATTCTCTTAAGTGGTTTGTTGAGATTATAGGTAATTTGAGGAAATTGAAAAAGAAAATTGCAGGTCTGGTCCTAGCTATGGATGGTGTTAACAGTGATAGCTAAGATTTTAAGTTCTTTTCCACAATGCCAGGCCCTAAATTCTAAGTGCTTTGTAAATTAACAGGTTTAATTCTCATGACAATACCGGGTAGGTAGGCTTTGTTTTTGCAGTGCAGGAAATTAACGCCAAAGGAAGAGGTTTCAGCAGGTCTTTTGTTTCTACCAAACAGGAGAGCCTGGGCGGGAAGGTTCGCTTTCTGGTCACCGGAGCCGCGCCCATCTCCTCTCCCGTCTTGACGTTCCTCCGGGCAGCGATGGGATGTCCGGTAAGCCAAGCACCTTTTCTGATGATAGCTTATTTCACTTCTGCACAAATAAAGCTCACTATTTAAATGAAAATGAAAACACAACTGAAAAGTGCCAAAGAGAAAGTCAGCTGAAATCTCAGTCGCGAGAAAAATATCTCCAGTCACCTATGTGTCTCTGTACAGAAATCTTTTCACAAATGGTGTCAGTGAACTACTTGCAAAGCAGCGCCCCATCTACACTGCTCCTTGTTGAGTAAACTTCTGCATCATTTTGATGGTTTTATAGTAGTTTACTGAGTGTACCTAAATAACTAGCCTCCTTTTTGAGGGACACTTGAGCTGTTAACCTTTCTTCCTTTCTTTTCTTTTCTTTTTTCTTTTTTCTTCTCTCCCTTCCCTTTTCCTTTTCCTTTCTGTTTCCTTTCCTTTCCTTTTCCTTCTCTTTCTTCCTCCCTC